ATGAGGATGACTAAATATCATCAACCAATTTTATCACAAAGACCAAATGTAGCAACATGCCCAGTGATTAAACCAGCCCCAGTCGGATCATTAATAAAGTTACGAACTGTCTTTTAAATGGAAAGCTTCCTTTGTGCAGAGTGATGTCACTGACACGCTTGTAATAGCATTTCCTCTATTCTTCTTTGTCTTGGTTTCCTCTGGCAGGATTTAACTTTTTTTTTTAATGTTTGGATTACTGGGTCATAACAACCTCTCTGCCGGCTGCACTGTGAGATATCACTTTATAATCGTTTGTTTATCCAAATCCAATCTTCTTAAATCGTCAGAATCATAAAATTGTGCACATGCTGCCAACACGGGGCATTCCCTCACTTCAGCGCATCCTGCAGACGCACATGGTTCCTATTCTCAAGCTATAGTTGTGTGGGTTTGTTCATTTGAATCGTGTCGAAGATTATTTTCCGTGTCTTGATTAGTGTTCAGTGTGGAGATGAGGCCTCTGGGCCGCATGTGACACACAAGCCAATACATTAGAGCGGCATCTTATCCGGTGACGGTGATGGAAGCAGCGCGGCATCAGGAGGGTATCACAGCAGTCAAGTGGATGATAAAACTCAGTTTTGCAGCATCTGTTAGCACAGTGAATTATCCAGTGTACTACTTTAGCTGCAGGGGCTGCAGTTATGCATATTTCTCTAACTGGGCCACAGGGGAGGTGGGGAAGGTACAGAGGGCTGTCGAGGGGTGTACTACTGGGGGGGGGGTAAGCCACTGCATCAAAGCGGGGCAGACGTAAATGCCCTCGCTGATACTCCGAGTAAAAACAACCATATCCAGCCGCCGTATAAAGCTGAACTGCTACTGGGTGGATTTGAGTTCCCCTCTCTCTCTCTCTCTCCCTCTCTCTGTCTCTCTCTCTCTCTCTGTCCGTGATACTGCAGAACTGGGGGAGGACTTCCTCTCTCTTTCTCTTTCATGTGTTCAGCTCTGTGCAATCCATAGATAACAGGCATGCATAACACGCACAGCCATGGAAAGACACGCACGCACGCACGCACACACACACACACTGTGGTGTCCTATAAGCATGCCGGCACACACAGAGGTGAGTGTGTGAAAGTGTTAAAAATGTTTTCAGGTTACTCTTTAGTTCAAACGCTCACACAGAAGTGATGAAGAGGAGGAGGAAGAGTGGAGTGGGGGTGATTCTGTTGCTATGCAACCAGACTGCGCTGTTTGAGAGCATAACTATCCACTCTGCAATGAGTTGATGCAACGTGTGAGCACACACACACATGCATGCACCCACGCACATGCACAAACTGTGGGAATCTGCACAGACACAAAACGTTCCACCGGCTCATTCCCACCATTAAAATGTTTGACACGTGCAACATCATCATTATGCCAGAATCTTTCTCTCAAATCCATGCGCGTGCGTGTTCGTGCATTCAGTGGCCGGCACACTGATTGGTTATCAGAGATCCAGTCTTCTCTGGCCAGAATAATGCCTCCTTTCCTCTGTGTGACACACTCTGCCTCCAGGGATGAGAGTTTGAGCAGAAAAATGATCCAAAGCACATTGTAAATTCAGTGCGAGTGCCATTCTCCTCTCAAGTGACCCACCAGGACAAATCATACAAATGCATGAATGGCTCTTATTATTCATTCCTATATTAGCCTCATGTCCCACAGTGCTATCTCCCAGGCATAGCAGTACTTTGCATTTGTATGTTTTAAGTAGTTTCTTTGTCAGTGGGGAGAACGTCCCCCACATTCCAGCTCATGCATACACACTGGCCCCCAGTGTGATGTATATACAGCTAACCTACCAGCTACCTACCAGCTGAGGAAGGATGTTGATGATAAATACACATTATTCATGCTTAAGGACAGAGTTTCATTCTTCCTGGGTTCCATTAGCAAAATCACAGAGAAAGGGGCAAGCGTCAAACTTAAGTTTTCCAAACATTGGATCCTGACAAATATTCATTCAGCTACATTCAGTGGGGAGAACATCCCCCACATTCCAGCTCATGCATACACACTGGCCCCCAGTGTGATGTATATACAGCTAACCTACCAGCTACTGTTTTACCATCGTCAAGTCATTAATCTGGTTTTATTGAGTGGTTTTAGATTCAAGATAAATAATGTTGCCAACACCCCAAGCTACAAATCACTGTGTATGATATATTTATATATATATTTTGGTCAGCTCTCTCCAAACGTCACGTCCTGGGACTTTTTACACTCAGACACATAACGTATAATCTGACACGAGGAAAACTAATTCTCCTTAAACCTTTTGTAAATGTGTCAAACACTGTAGATCACTCAGAGGCTTAACAAAGATTAAGCAGCATGATATTTTCTTACAGCAACATCCCCATGCTGTGCAATGTGTGAGCTTCTTATGACTTAGTTTATCTAATATTTTATTATAAGGAGTGAATTCATTCCGACACAGGAAGACACTGAGAAAAAAAAATCACATCAATGGGCGAGTTTGATAACATCTTTCATTCAATTGCTTCAATGTGTTACAAAACTTTCTTTAAGATTAAGTCATAAAAGTGTATTTGAAACATCCGTCAACGTATCGAAGGCATTTTACAACATTTAAATAATAAAGTTCTGAATGGACGAATAAGGAACAATTTCCATTGTTGAGCTCAATTCATGCCCCAGAAAAAAATGCAATGATGTTCACATTTTACATGATAGATTCAAGTTTTTTAAATTCAAGATCAATATATTTGGTGACATTTGTGTTCTCTTTTTTATTCATGATAAAATTGAGGCCTCAATTACCTAAAACTCCAAAAATATTTGGAGCCGATTTGTTGCAAATAAAATGTTCGTCAAGAGTTAGAATAACACTGGAGCTGCTCTCGTCTGTAGATGTGTTCCTCTGAGCCTGTTAGTGTGCACAGTAGCTTTCAGTGTTGATTGGCTATTATTCATGACATAGTGCCGTGGGTGGGACACTGCTGCCAACCACGCCACAGAGAGGTGGCTACAGACCGAGAGAGGAAGCTACAGACTGAGAGAGGTGGCTACAGACCGAGAGAGGAAGCTACAGACCGAGAGAGGTGGCTACAGACTGAGAGAGGTGGCTACAGACTGAGAGAGGAAGCTACAGACTGAGAGAGGAGGCTGCTACAGACTGAGAGAGGTGGCTACAGACTGAGAGAGGAGGCTACAGACTGAGAGAGGTGTTTACAGACTGAGAGAGGTGGCTACAGACTGAGAGAG